TTATCTGAGAAAAACATAAATATCAGATGCCACAAAACCTATATTTAAGGGTTTCCAAAGGAACCCAGAAGATCAAATGTCCATTTTTGTTTGTTTGTTTGTTTTTGTTTTTTGCAATGCTGGTCAGAACATGAAGCTTAGGAGAATGATGAGATTTTTTGTAGGAGCTGGAACCAGTGTGTTAGCTCAGGCTGGATCAAGATATTTGCAGAAGGGACTAAGCTCATAGTAATCCCCCATGGTAAGTAACTTTTTTCTATTTTTGAAAAACTGGTAGATGCTATTTAGGTAAAAACAATTTAGGATCACTCAGGTCTGACTCCCACATTCTCAGCATATGAATAGCAATTTTGTAGCTACTTGTCACCGTATGTGGAAACACTACTTTGTAAATGGTTTCTTTCCTTCTCTGCTTGTAACCAGATCAAAATTCTTTTCTTTGAATACACATACACCAAAAAGGGTAGACTCGGGCTACAAATTAAAATATTTTAAGTACAATGTCTGTAAATCATTGGTATCAGTTATGGGTTTAAGATGCTTTTCTTGTAGGCAATCTTTTAATTGAGAGATACTTTTATGAATGATCTCTACATTTTCAGATAAAACATAGTGCTTAGTTCTCTCAATAATCTGATAAATTATTTGGTTTTTATCTCATCCCTAACAGCCATGCAAAACCTGAATTCTTACAGTGAATGAGTAAAGAACTTCCCAATTTATGCTGTAACAAGTCTTGTTATACTGTCTAAAGATGGACCAGTTTAATGAAATTATTAGTTCAATAAACCATTTCAGGTCCACAACTATGAAGAGTTTGCATTATTATACATCCTCATTTGTTTATTCATTGTCTCAGAAAACAGTTTAGAACACAGTTTTGGTGCTGAATGCTGGAGATAAAAGAATGAAAAAGACATAGTCTCAGCACTCATAAACCTTCTAGCCTAGTATATAAGTATTCTAGATTCTGGTTCATTTGGGCCCCACATTCTTTGGCCTATGGCTCCCATAGATGTGGAAGGTCTTGGGCTCATGAGCTGCTTCCTTTCTCAATTTATGTAAGAATTATTGTGTATGAAATACATGTATTTTGTTTTGTGGAAGAGTTTGATAAAATGGCCCCAGACTGTCCCATTAAAGAGAATCATATTAGCTAGTATTTACTGAGGGCCAGACACCACATCAAATAGCTTTATTGCCTTATCTAATTCCTCAGTAGCCCCGGGCAGGGGATCTTCTTAGTCCCATTTCATAGATAGGAAAACTGAGGCTTAGAGTAGTTTGCTTATTTGTCTCAAGTCACACTGCAAGTTACTATGGCAAAGTTCAGGATTCAATAGAGACTTGTCTATTTCAAGGTGCATGGTCAGGACCATTATATGGTATTAAAAACAGTCATTTTCTCTTCTGAATATTTACTTTTCTATAGTTTGACCATTGAAATGGACTCTTTAATTGACTACTTAATTAGTAATAGCCCACAATTTGTGTTACTATTCTTGCATGAAAACAGTGCTTCTGCTTCTATATATGCCACCTCTCTTTCTTCCCAAAAAGATCAAGTCATGCTAAATATGCATTTATTAAATACTTAAAATATGATTACTAACATATTTATATAAGATGCCAACTTATTTTGACATCATTCCACCCAATTTTCTTTCCATTTTGGCATCAAATTTGCTAAAAGTATTGTAGCAGTTAAAAGAACTAGATCAGTTGTACCAAACTTCATTACTAACTAAATTGCATAACTCAATTCAGCCTTTCCACTCGTGATGCGACAGCTGCAGAAATACCAAACGGAACAGGGGCCTCTGATAAGCAGCACAGCAAGGATAGCAAATGCCCTGGAAGCTGTAAGGGCAAGAAATCCAAAGGAGCAGTCTTTCAGCAGAAAATAGCTTAAGGGCCGATCATTAAGAATTTAGACTCTGTAACAACTAACCTGGTCTATCAGTGGGGATTGGATTCTACAAAGAAGTTCCTTGAGAATCAATCCAGATACCCACCTCTTCGTATGGATACATATAAATAACAAATACCTGTAAAACGTATTGAAATACTTCTATTAAATACTCAAATATATTATTTCTGTTATTCTTTCTCTAACTCTAAATTATGCTCTAGGCAAAAAAAAAAAATTACTTTATATGTGAAAACCCTTTAAAGAAGGACAAGTAGGAAATTCAGGGAAAATGGTGACAAAAGATAAAAAGACACAACCCAAGGTACCCCGGCAGAGAGGGGCCGGTTTGTAGTTCTGGACTACATTTATATCTGATGTGATTTTTCTTAAGCTTCATCTTTGTGAAATGTTACAGGGTCAAATTTTGTATGTTTAAATGACTATTGGAAAATATGAGCACAACTTTATAGCAGGTACATAGGAATATTTCTATAAAAGTTTTTCAGATAGTGGGCAAATAAAGTCAGGAGAATCAAAGTATTTGGTCCTGGCACACAGCTCACTGTTACAGGTAAATTTTCTTTAAATTCTTCAGTTAAGGTAGGGAAGGAAGGCAGGTAATGCAGGTGCTGCAGGCGAGGTGCTGGTGTGGGCTCAGAATTGGTGGATTCAGTCCCAGGCCGGTCACATATCATGTCGCTCACCAGAGAGGCTCATGACGCCATTCAGGTTTTCGGAGGCAGCTGTCTCCTGACCTAGCAAGACAGCATTAGTGGGGCATTAACTAGTAAGTGTAGCTCTGGGAGCCTAAGAAGTGGAGATGTTTGGTCCATGTGGTATTTTTATGTTGAAAGGTTTTTAAAGACATTTATATAATTTATTAATTTATACCAAAAATAACCAAAGAAAAAAAATGGGAAAAAAATCACTGCATTTGTTATTTGATTAGATGATAATTAATATCAAAATACTTAACTGTGTTAAGAATGTCATAAACTAGATTTGTTTTATTCTAAGTTCAGTCCAGCAAATCTGTTCATTCTTCATTAGCCTTAAAAATGAAACCTTGCCTGTCTGAGTGAGGGAGAACATTTCACAAGGATGTTCTGGCCCACCAGGTCCATTCAAACAAAGGTTTTCAGAGACTTTTCAGAGTTTTTCACAAAGTTGACAAAGCATTGAAAAAAAAAGAAATGTCATATTTGGTTTTCTTAGTGGTTGTGATATGAAATTGAAAAGCAACTTTTCTGGTCCTCTTTTTTTCCCAGCTGACTACATAGTCAATGTAAATTGTAGCAATCAAATTAAATATTGGTGACAGATATAATTCATGAGGGTCCTGAAAAATGTTTTTAGGAGAGTGTGAGGCAGGGACATTCATAGACTTTGATTCTGGATCCTTCAGTTTCTATACAATCATCCATTAGCAAATAAATTTTCATTCACTGGTTATTGCTTTATTAAATTTATAAACATAGTACATGCCTATCATGGAAAAAATGGAAAATGCAAAAAATAAGTAAGAAAAAGAAAGCATTTTTCTCAGTCTATTGAGATCTTGCTTCCAGGCATATCCTCTGTTTGGCTGAAATAAACTTTTAATAAAAATTCTCTACAAGTTTTCATGGGGATGTGAAGTACAGCATAGGGAATATAGTCAGTAATACTGTAATAACTATGTATGGGGTCAGGTGGGTACTAGATTTATCACGGTGATCTCTTTGAAGATTATATAAATGTCCATCACTATGTTGTACACCTGAAACTAATATAATATTGTATGTTGACTGTAATTGAAAATTTTAAAAATGATTTAAAAAGTTTAAATAAAAGAAAAAATAAACAAAAATTTAATATTGACATACCACTTTTACTATTTTGATATATTTCTGTCCACTCATTCTGTATATGCAGCAACCAGCTGAAGTGGATGTTGTGAGGATTAAATGAAATTAAATATGGAAATTACCTACCACAAATGTTGGGACATGGTCAGTGACAAAAATGTCAAGTCTCCAGAATCCAGATTACCACCAATTGGAGTTCTTTATGAAATCAGGAGTAGAGCTAAATATACTAATTTTATCTAGTCTGATCGTCAGTATTTGCAAAATGCTTTCAATTTCTAAGACTAATCGTTACATGCTTCTAAATATGACTAAATGTAATAAACATTATATCAAATACTACTAACCTAAATATAAGGTGATCTCTAATTTTTCAGTAGATATATTCTAGAAGTAAAAAAGGGGGTTGCAACTTGCATATATAAATTTATACTAATATAAAGTCAAAAATCCAATTATAACATTTAGATTCTTAATTAGATTATAGCTACAAAGTTAAAAATTATACCATAACAAATATCAAATGTGAAATATAAATAAAATTTTATCAATACAAATGTCAGGTGATTTTTTTTTTTTTTTGCCCTCACATTTCATTAAAATTTTTATTCAGACTCTTCGCATGCATCTAAAACATCTACTTTAGAGCAATTTCTAAGTTACTGAATGTCTGCTTTGGGATCCTTGTATGAAGATGTCACTGGAAATGCAGATAGGCAAGACAAATGATGGTGCACTAATTAAGTGTGAGAAAGTCACCTTTCCCGTAGTGATGGCTTTGTGAATTCCAGACATATTAGAGCAAAGTGGAAGCATTTATCTGCAATGCCAAAGAGGTGAATTCCTATTAGTAAGGGCAAGGTATGGTCCCATGAGATTAAAAGGTCAGGTTGGAGCAGAAAGTCATACAGTCAAATGGCTAATAATTATTATAATCTTTTATTTCCATAGCATTTTTAATCAAATTGCTTTTCAAATCTTGTTTCATTTTGGTCTCAGTAGCGATGTTGAATTGATTTACATTCGCATCATTGTTTTCAGACAAATAAAGCACCAAAAAATGTTAATTTACTTTATTGGCTCAGTCACAGAACTTGTTATGAGCAAAATGAACCAGAAGCAGAGCACTGATCCCCTTGATTTACAGACCATCATAGTTCCACTAGAATTTGAAAAACTCAGAGAAGCTAAATGAGTCTACAGTTTTTGATACTGGTTGAATCACTGTGGAGCTATGACAGAAAACTCTTTGGTGATGGAACAAAACTTGTTGTCACAGGTAGGTATCAGAAGAATGCAATTTTTCAAAATAATAGAGGGAAGGCAAGAAACAATTAAATTGAAATAATAGTAAGAATATTTCGATAACACAGGAATGTGATGAGGATTAAATGTAAAAATCGTAGGAGAGATTGTAAAACAAATCCTTACAGGCACACAGAGACAATACTGCGATTATTGTAGCAGGGGTTGGCTTTTGTGTACACACGGACTTGTACAAAATGCTCATGATTAATGTATGCAATTATCATGGAAGATCTGGCCCAAAGACAAAGGTTATTACTATAGGTCAGCTTTGTGAGTTGATGCATTTCCATTTCTCATGGTGTAAACGTCTTGCAAAAGAGGCTGGGCTTTGGAGTCAGGATCACATGGAGCTCTGGCTCCACCACTTACTGCGTATGTGAACTTGGGCAACCATTCTGTGGCCTCAGTTTCTTAATTCGAAAAATGGGATAGGATGCATCCAGAAGGGTTGTATGAGAATTGACTGAGATGGTGTGAATGAAGTACTTGCACATAGTCTGTTCCTTCAATTCAAATGTAAAGGGGAAGTGTATCCAGTATGAAGAGTTGTTTGTAGCCAATAATACTGAAAGAGCAGAAATTCCCCAGAAACTCAGCTGTACTTCTAACTACTTATAAAAAAATGAATCTGGAGGTATTGGTTTCTTTCTTCCACCACTGTTCTTAACCCTTGGCAAGAAAAATAAGGTTAACATGTGTTTGTTTTTAATTTTTAGTGTTGGTTTATGTGCTTTAAATCTTAATCCCTTATCTTAAATGATATTATTTCTAACAGCAACATTTATCAGCCTCAAAACTTATAGTCAATAAGTTTGAGCTTTATGCTCATGTTGATTTTAAAAATCTTAAATTCATACTGAAAATGATCAATACGTAAAGTCAATCAAATATAGCTAGAAAAGCCATAACTAAAATTCATACTAAACATAAAATAACTATAACTACTTATTTGATAAAAGATTATTGACAAGAAAAAAATAACACAATATCAATATGTAGGAGTGAAATATCGTAATTTCTATTGAAAATATAGTTTACATTTATGTAAAATTTGGTAAATTTATATAGAATTCTTGCTGCTACATCTGAACACCTCAGGCAATTTAACTCAGATATATTATTTGATTATACAAATGGCTTTATAGAAGTTTATTAGAAGCCTTGTTTACTTTTTGATGTTATTTCTGTTGTATGCATCATGAAAAAGATTTTGACCATAAAAATACTTTTAATGAATTAAAAAATATTTAAAGAGAAACATATAGTATAATTATCCAAATATAGGTACTAGCCATATTTAATCAAGTACGCTATTTAATACTCAGTTAACTATTACATGGAGAAAATCACAGAAGTTACAGATTCATTTTATCTTGAAAAGAATGACACACAATAAATCTAGCTATGGAAAAGGGCCAGGCAATAAGAATACTGTGTTACCAGACAGAAATATTTCAAGATTGTCATTTGATTTTCAATTTCTTTAGTATAATGAACCAGAAATATTACTATGAAGAAAAAAGTTATTATTTATTATATTGACTGGACTACAATTATGTATATAATGTAGAATTAAAAATTAATATTATTTTATATAGCATGCTTTTATAATAAAAACAAAGTATATGGTTGGAGAAATACACATCTTACTATTATAATTAATAAAATACTATTGCAATAAAAGCAAGATGTATAAATTTAAAATAAGCACATTATGACTTACTTACATTTACAAAACAATAAAAAAAACCCTCAACATTGTTTGCTTACTGATTTAGTATAAAAATCAGGAGCTTTGCCCCACAGGCAGAAATACTCAAGAATTTTTTTCCTTTACTTCTCAAATGAGAAATCCAATTTTTTTCCTTAAAATATTTCCCATTGAATTGTATAGTAAGACAATATAATAAAGAGTTTTTGTTTAAATTCGAAATCAAACTGGAAAGGATTCTAACATTTGTAATTTCAAAAATCAGATTACTAATAAATGTATAAGCAAGTAACATTCCAGCATTCATGTGATATGCTTTTTGTAAATGTATGTTTTCTATATATTTTGACATTATAGCTGCAAAAAACTCTAGAACTATAACTTTTCATATTACTCCAATTATGTATGTGTTTTTATTCAGCAGATGACTTCAGCTCTAAAATTAACTCAGCAGCCATTCAGCGTAGACATAAATTTTAGGGGAGATATACAGGGCCAAAATATGGTATAGTAGTCATGTTTAATCTTCAAGTAAAATTCCAAACTAAAACACATTTTTGGTGAATCTTTCTAAGGCCAAATGAAATTCTGTTAAGGGCATTATCTCACTAGATTAACATAAGTGTTTTTGAAAATAATAGAATTGTTAATAGACATGTTGTAAATATTGCTATTTTACCTCTTAATTCAAAGGGTCATAAATAATTTGGAAGTTCAGTTTTAAATACTGTCCCCAAAAATTTAGAGTGGTACAGGTGTAAAAATAACATGTTATACAGAATTAGAAATCAACTAGGAACCCTATTTCTTCAGAACTGGGCAGGGAGGTCCATATTTAAAGCTAAAAAAAAATAACTTGAAGTAAATTTCCATTAAAACGAGTGACAGTGTATTGCTTAGAAAAAATAAAATATTTCCTCCAGGCATTTATTTTTTTATGGAAAAAAGAAAATTTGTTGCCTTCCAGAATCAGTTGAATGGAGAGTGAGTTTCCACAGGGTTACAGAACATAAGAATGTGTGGCCAACGAGAGCTTAAGTTACAAAATTTATGGGGAGAGATAAGTACTTTTTATTTTTTTATTTTTGTTGAACTTATTGAGGTGACACTGGTTAATAAAATTATACAGGTTTCAGGTGTACAATTTTATACCACAGCATCATACATTCACCATCCAAACTCAACTCTCTTTCCATTACCGTCAGTCCTCCCTTTACCGTCTTCTGCCTCTCCCACCCCACCTTCCCTCTGGCAAGCACCATATTGGGGTTTGTGTCTGTTTTTGTTTTTGTTTTTTTTCTTACACTTTATAAGCCACTAAAAATTCTTATCTGAATCTCAGTTACCTCCTGGCCTTTTCCCCTATTCCCATCATCTACTCTCCACATATGATAGTATGAAAGACATTAAAAACAAATTAATAAGTTTACACATGTTGGAGCTCTTAAAAGTCATATTCCATTTTAACTTGTGGAAAAGGAACAAAGGTCAAGATTCAATTCAGGCTGTGTCATTTAATAGCTATGACTTTGGGAGAGTGACATAACCTCTCGAACTTCTCTTCCCCTCTGAAAATAAGAACAATAATAAATATACCACAATATATCGTGGATGAAAGACCATTAAAAGCACTAATTAAATGGCAACTTTTCTTCCTTTCACAATATGCCAGGTTGTTCCAAACAACAAAATGTTGTTTCCTTAATTCTTAATTGTTACTCCATTTCCCCCCACAGAGAGAAGCCTTGATTCAGAGATTGCCCCCAAGCCCACAATTTTTCTTCCTTCAGCAGCTGAAATAAACCTTCATAATGCTGGGACATATCTTTGCCTCCTTGAGAAATTTTTCCCTGATGCTATTAAGGTATATTGGAAGGAAAAGAACAACAATACAATTCTGGCATCCCAGCAGGGAAATACCATGAAGACTAATGACACATACATGAAATTCAGCTGGCTGACCGTGACTGCGAAGTCAATGGATGAAGAACACAAATGCATCGTCAAACATGAGAATAATAGAAGAGGAGCTGATCAAGAGATTCTTTTTCCTTCAATAAATAAAGGTATGTGCATATAAATATAACCTCCCAGAACACTTCTCTTCCCAAAGGGAATGCCTTATGTCTGTCAAGTATTAATAAAAAAGGTATATATAAATCTTTCTTAAATGTTGCTACATTCAATAGTAGCATAAATGTCCTGCTATTTTCCCACAGAATTAAAATATTATAGGCTTTGGAACATAAAAAGATAAAGAAATAAAGAATTTTACTCTTCTCAGCCTCAGTTTTATCATCCAAATATTAAAGTCACATGATGGTTTTAGGGTTGCTGTATGGTTTAAATGAAACAACATACATGAAAACACCTAGCAACTTAGCACACAATAAATGCTCAAAAAGAGATTCCACTTTGGATGATCTTATTTGACCAGAGAATAAGAACAGTTATACATCTTTCAAGAATTTTCTACTGATCAGGCAAAGTCACAGTCACTTCAGTGTTGCTAAACTCAAAGTGTAATCAGTGAGTTGCGAGGCAACAGGTGGTGTCCTTCTGAGGGAGTCGGATCAAGGTTCAACAAAAAAAGAATAATTTAGGCCTCCAGTTTTTGTATGGTCCTTAGTTTTTCAGGTTTGTATTTTATATATCACTGTAGGTAAACTTTATAATTAAAAATTGGGTGAGGCTGATGTGTAGAAACAAATTTCCATTCTACATAACGAGCATATATTTATTGCCATTGGAAAAACACATGTACTGCAGCAGTAGCATGTTTCTGGCCTGGAAGGATGTGGATGAATACACCAGGATGACTTGCCGTCCCAAGGCGGATGTGCCCAGTGAAGAGAATATCCTCTTTCCCTAAACATTCAGGGCCACTCGAGATTCAAGCATGATGTCCCAAAAGAGTGCCTTTGTCAGATTTTGTACATATTTAAACAGTGAGGGCCGAGCCCTGAATGTGCCCTAGTCCCAGCAGAGGTCTGGGAACTCCCTAGACGCAGACCTTAAAGTCCTGAGTATCAACATAACCAGGCCAACGTCCCCAGAGTGCCCACAGGAAGGAGTCAGTTGGAACTGTACCTGGTGGTTAACAAGGCCTTTCAAACAGTGGGGAGCAAGCCCATAACAAGACGTGCTAAGACCTTTGCTGTGTACCAGTCTGAATTTTGGAGTAAGACTTTTTTCTCAAATCTGGTTTCCCCAGTGATCAAATCAGGTTTGAACCCTGGCCTTGGCTTTCTCCTGGGGCTGCAATGAAGAGAAAATGAAATAATGTCAGTGAAAATGCTTCCTTTTGAAAATATAACGTAGATGTATCAATACATATACATGTGTTATTTATATCCTTTCCTAAAACTAAAGTAACATTGCCAAAACAGCCCTAATTTTTCTGTTTCTACAGCAAAGAAACAGAGAGGAAGCAAATATACAAAGCACAAGTTTAATATACTCACTGGCTTAAGTGTCCTATTATGTTTTCATTTTTCTAGTGGTCAGGGATGGCCATCTTAAAGGAGAGAAGGACCAGTTTATAAGGTATTTTACTTGGCACTTAATTTCTGAAATATGGAAACAAAGCTAAAATGGGCATTTTGGTTAATGTCATTCTATGGCAAATTACTAATGCTGTTGCTTGTAAGGTATTTTGTTGTTGTTGGGTTTGATTTTTTTTTTTTTTTGGTTTATTTGATAAAAGCTAAGATTATAATATGGAAGCACAAATCAATGAAGCGATTCTAAAGAGAGATGAAACTAATCTGGTTTTAGTTTTTGACCAGATTAGGAAAAAGAATTTAGTAAACATACAGATTTTATTATGAAAAATTGACACTTCATTGCTTTTACTTCCAGCAATATGAGATCTTATATTTATCTTTTGATGAATAAAGTCACTGTAAGGAAAATAAGAGTGTTTTAAGAGACAGCAAAGTGAGTTTTTGAGGATATTTTAACATCTAAACATGATTAGACTAGTTTTTCCAATCTTGGGATTTACCCCAAGGCTTATATACCTCACAACCATTTCTTTAGTGCATCCCAAGAAAAAATGTCATGAGCGCATTAAACTGCACACCGGAACTGTGTCCACACGGTCTGGAACACTCCTAGTAGAAAAATAATAAACCAAAGCAACCATTGCAACTGCTTTCCTTCATCCAATGGTCAATGAGAAACTTTGTCTTTGTATGTATATTTGCCTTTTTTAAAAAACATTGTAGATAAATGCAATTCTTATCTCAGGCTTCATAATTCAGGGAACTATAAATGTGACTTGGTTTATTTTCTTTTCCTGGAAGCATTGCACTGAAATGCCGAGCTCCTGAAATGAAACGGTCATTTACTAAGTATGATTAAGATATCTGGAAGAGACAACATTTTACTGTCCACAATCTTGGAATTTTGTTGTCTCTCTAGATTATTTTCTACTTCTGTGGATTATTTTTGCAGAGTACTTTCCACATGTTCTCTCCCATTTACTCCCCCACAGCGATCCTTTGAATGCTGGCTCTGCCGTCACTGGTATGACTCTCAGCAAGTTGCTGGTACTCTCTGCACCTCATTTTCTCGTCTGTAACATGGAGTCCAAAATACTACTCACTTTCATGTTACTGGGGGATGAAATGAGATCATGAGTGTGAAGCATTTAAAATACACTATGCCACACAGCCTTGCACAGTAATAACCACTCAGTAGACATTAGCTTTTATGACTATTGTCATGTCCACAGAGACCACAACTGCAGAAAATTATGAGTATGAGCTCGGGTCACTGGGGATATGCATGAGTAGGAAAGGTATGGCTTAGACGAGAAATATGCCTAACCCAGACTCCTTCAAATATGTAAGATTCTGTTATGGATTCTACGATTAAATGAATTTATTTGGGTAGCAACTGCTCATGTCAGCAGTGCGTGCTGAAGACTGCAGAGCAGCTCCTTTTTCTGTTTATTTTTTCCAATCAACAAGTGTCATATATACTGAAGAGATACTTTGTTGTTGGCAGTGTGCTAGGAGAGATGAATGCAGGAGGAAAACAGGTAGTCTTGGGTAGGACCCTCCAGTTATGATTAAAAAGAAAAAAACATGTATCTTTTGTGAACTTCAACATCTTCATGTGCAGAAACAATACTCAGTAAATTAGATATACTGAATTACATAATCTAGCATCTCTTCCTGGAATTGAGGGACTCATTTTTAATGGCTCTCTCCTCTCTGTGGATAGATACTCTCTCTCTCTCTCTCTCTCTCTCTCTATATATATATATATATAACTATCTGTCATCTATTTATGTGTCTGTCTTTACACACACACAAACACACAAAGTCAAATAACAGTTATGAACAATTTATTAATAGTTGCTTTCATTTCTTGTAGAGGTTGCTGGTATTATTCCTATAATAGAAGATTGTGAGGAAGATATACATGGTAAGTTTTGCATATACTTGTCTTTATGACATGCTATATCATTTTTCCCTTTTCATCAACACAAGTTTTGAGCTTCTCTGGCTTAAGATAGAAAAATCAGAAACGCTGGGTTTGCAGAATAGACTGAGTGCTATTTTAAGTCAATCCTTCATTTCCTAGCAGTCATCTTAACACAGCAAATGCTGACTTTTGGTATAAGGTGACTGTGAATTAGATGCTGCTGTAATATACTCGGGATTATTTCAACAATGACTTTACTCATTTATATGACTTTTGTTTCTAATGACTAGTGACGTGATATCAAGTCTAGATTTTTGTCTTTGGTCCTTGCTAGCAGTTAATGACCTGAACTCACATGTTTAATTCTTATAATACTCCTGTGGTGTGTACAATATATTTTCCCACTTGACAAGTGAGACCAATGATCTAAAATGAAGTCCTTTACACTATGCCAAGCAGCTAGATCTGGGGTTTTAATCCAGGCCATCGGAATCAAGACTTCATACACTTACTCAGTTCTCTATTCCACTTTTGAGAGTAAAGTCATAGGGCAAGAAAGCCCAGAGCCAAGACCCGAGATACAATGGATACATGGCTGAGGTGCAGGGTAGGGGCAGTTTCTGGCTTCCCAGTACCACAGATGGGACTTCAACCCCAGTTCTTTTAATTATTAGTGGCATGAATATTGGTACTTACACTTCATGAGAAATACTTTCCTCACCTGCCAATCAGGAATAATTAGACCTAACCCAGTTATTGAGGAGATAAGGTCACATATGTGGAATGTCCAGCATAGGGTATCTCGTTTAGCTGGCATAGAATACAAGTTCCTGGCCCTTCCTCCCTATACATGTACAAAGGAAGCACCTAGAAGCATTGGCTCTGGTCCTGCTGAGCTCCCCTCCATTCCCAGTATCAAGGGGGCTCTGGACCTCAGCTAACACCTTGCCTGACCAACCCAAAGGATTTCTGAGCACATTGGCTCTTGAGGGTCTTTTCCACATGAAGAGCTAATTATTCTGGAGTTCCGACACTATGGAGATAAAACATGTCAAAGGGAAATTTCCACAGGAAAAGGCTTGGCCTTGTGGTTTACTGAGCAGCAGTCTGGCCCACCATCACTGCCTTCAATTGTTCCTTGACATCACATATTTCTTGCAAAACTTAAAGAACATTAAGTACAATTACATTATAGTGTCAGAGGCACAATGAAGAAAATTCAGGAAAGACAAGTGAGAGAGCCATGACCTCTTAAAGTTTCAGAGAATTTGGATTAACCACTTTCTTCCAGTTAACATAAAGCCCTCTTTTAAACCTGCAGCCACCAGCTGTGAACACCACATTTTCAAGGATTGTACCCTCAGTAGGAATCACATTGCATTCACACGCACTGACTCAGATGCTTCTACATCAGCAGGTCAACTTTCTATTAATGCTTAACCCTTTGATGTCAGGGTATTGTTTACTGCACTTGGAGATACAGAATTCCAGAGTGATTAAAAATGTTTTCTCGGAAGTCATGTTGCTGGGACTGAAATTTGGTTTCTGGGATTTACTAAATGCATGACAACTGGCAAATCTCTTCTCTCCCTGTCCTCATGTTATTTGTAAAATGGCAACTAAAATAATAATCTCGTAAGTTACTGTAAACATTATATAAGATTAAAGTTTCGAATACAAAGCTCTCAGAGTGTTTGGGATTTGGTTAGTGGTTAATGAAGAATATTAACTTTTATTATTAATTAGAGACAGAATGGTGTTAAGAAATGATAAAAGTCATTTACCACAATTACTTGCTTCTCATTGGACTCTCTCATTTAAAACACCACCTTAGTTCTAATATTTTGGAGTGTTCTAAGTGACTTGACCTGCAAGCTACATTCTAAGTTGTCTTGCTGCTGCTGCTGCTGGTGGTAGATGTTTACTTATTTTGGGGTTGGTGGTGTGGAAGTGTCACTTCAATGTAGATCATAAACATAAATAATTATGACCCCCTCCCATTAATATTTCCTATCCTTTCAAAAGAACAGATGAAACTAATTAAATGACTTCTCCTAGGTGTATTGCAGTTGCAGCTCACCAATACCTCCGCTTACTACACCTACCTCCTCCTCCTCCTCAAGAGCCTGGTCTACTTTGCCATCGTTTCCTTCTGTCTATTTAGGAGAACAGCCATCTGTGGCCATGGAAAAAGTTCATAACAGATGACAGCACAAAAGGATCAACAATTGTTCTTCATTTATTTTCGCTGGACATGTCTGCTGAGGATCTTGCTGGGCTTCCTTTCTGAGTTTGAGTTATTTCGTTCACATGCATTTTTCTATTATGTCATTATTGCATAATGGTTTTCACACCCCTGGGCAAAAGAAACTTCTCTCTGTAGCAGTAACAGAATCTGCCATTACTCAGGCGCAGGGCCCAAGGGTGCCCTTTGTCACCACTCTTCCCATAACCCCAATCAGCTCCTCTCGCCAACCCACATCACCACGCCTTCTGCGTACAGACAACATGCAGCTCCTAGTCACGTTCCTCAGTGCTCCTCATCCAGACAACCGCCTCAGAGCTTCCATGTCGCACACCCAGAAGCTGCCTTCTCAGCTACTTGTATTCTGTATTTTGTTTGTCATAATAAGCACAATAAATATTTTTAAAAACCAAAAGTCTACTTTTGTCCATGTACTTTAATCTGATACATCTAATTGAGGTCCCAGCTAAGGAGGAACATGGCAAATGAGGTCTCAAATTCTGTACTGTCGTCATGGCCAACACTACCTTTGTGTTTCTTTCCCTGAGACTCTAGTTGCAATCCTTTCTTTGGAGCACAGATTCCAAGAGGGCCAGAGCCCAGTGAAGGTGCCCAGCTAACTTCTCTCTGAAAGGTCACCATTCACATACTCTTTTGGTTTGGGATAGTCCAATGGTGACAGCGTAACATCTGCCATGATTGGCACTGTGTGCTCAGATCTATGCCAGCGTTTCACATGCATCAGGTTTCCTGATTCTCACAATGACCCACGAGAACTGCTCTGACACTGGAGAGGCAGGGTGGTGAGGGCTGAGCCCCTCTCCTCTGACCCGAAGGGCCTGAATTTGAATCCCGGGTCTAGTGTTGGTATCTGGGTGACCTCAGAGAACCTATTTGAACTCTATGTGCCATAATTTTCTCATGTGTAAAATGAAGTTACAGTGCCTGGCCTCCTGAAGTTGTGTGAATTAGATGAGTTAATAATGTTTGGTACATGCAAGTCCTCAGCAGTTACTGTTAGTTGCTCTACTTTAGAAAAAATAGAAATGATAAAAGTCATTTACCACAATTACTTGCTTCTCATTGGACTCTCTCATTTAAAACACCACCTTAGTTCTAATATTTTGGAGTGTTCTAAGTGACTTGACCTGCAAGCTACATTCTAAGTTGTCTTGCTGCTGCTGCTGCTGGTGGTAGATGTTTACTTATTTTGGGGTTGGTGGTGTGGAAGTGTCACTTCAATGTAGATCATAAACATAAATAATTATGACCCCCTCCCATTAATATTTCCTAGCCTTTCAAAAGAACAGATGAAACTAATTAAATGACTTCTCCTAGGTGTATTGCAGTTGCCTTATGAGCACGCACACACACACCCTATCAATCCTCCCTAATTATATTTCTCCACAGCCAGATTAGATGTGGATGGAATAGGGACTCAGTGAGTTTCTGCTAAGCATCCGGCAATCCCGTTAATCATCTCTGAGCCCGTGGAGGTAGGTGCAGTCCACAGTTTACAGATGGGAGAGATTGTTCTCTCCTAATGGTCACCACTTTGTAAGTAATAGTCATTTGAAGCCAACTCTCCCTAAACTCAGAGCACGAATTTTGTTACCTCGTATGTTGTGGCTTCCCCTTCCCGTACTTTCACCAAGGAAGAACAAAACAAGCACTGCTTCTTCTCCAAAGTCAGTGGGAATTTTCTTAAGCACTTATGGGTGCATCTCTATTTTCTTCTCATCTGTATACTCTGGCACAACCATAATTGCTCCCTTTATTATCAACAGTATGAAAATCCTGCCTTATTTTATGTGTGTCCTAGATTTGCAACTCCTCCTTGCGGTATTAATGAAATGAACTGAGGATCTCAGGTAACGCAAGGCCTTTGACAGTGCCACTGCGTGCACCACTCTGGTATTCCAGCTTCTCCCTTAGACTAAACAGGTCCAGATGTCCTGGGAATCACCTTGTGGAAGCCTCGGGTATGTCTGTGGCCATTTCTGAGGAAGGAGGTAGCTGTACTTCCTTTTGAGTCCAGTACTTTTCCATCACAGCAGCACTGCCACGTGGTGGTGAGGTGGGAGGGACACTATACCAGAACTTTTGCCTCACGCTCCATACTTAGAGCCTCTGTTACTTGGTCTGGCTCCAACTAGCAGTGTCATTTGCTCTTGACGATGTCATATTTCCTACATTTACCCATCTTTAGAAGAAGGTGTTGAAATTCTAAATAATTTCAGATTTCTAGCATAGTTTACAAATTCAATGATTAACAAGTTAATGGAGTAAAAATAGCAAACACTTGCATAGTGCTTACTAGTTTTGGTCTAAGCATGTGTAACTTGTTTCTCACAAGAACCCCATGAAATGAGGACAATTATGTCTGATCTACAGATGGGAAAACTGAGGCAAGAGAGGATAAATATTATCCCCACAGTTAGACATCTAATAACAAGCAGCACAGGTATTTAAACCCAAGCAGCCTGGCCACAGGCTCTGCCCCTGAGTTCTACATTACTTGCTACTAAAGTAGAAACAGGTTCCTTTAGATCTGAATTAAGATGGGAAAATTTCCTTCTTATTAGGCAAAGAACTGATAAAGAGAACTGCCTTTTCCCCTGTCCACACTTCCTCTCCTTACTCCTACCCTGTTCAAACAATTAGCGGGTTGTAACAACCTGCACACAATTTTCTGTCTTGGGAAGATTTTAATATGCTGAGCTCCCACACACCAATCAGACACCTGTCATTAAAGCATATGCCACTTGGTTGGAGAAAAGAAATACCAGAACAACAGGTTGCATCCACAGGTGCACAATGGAGAATTGGGCATAGATTTATACATTTCCACAGGAAAGCTCTCATGTCTCTAATCTTTATCAGCTAGTGTACTCCACACACTTCTCAACCATAAAAAAGGGCAAACTTCAAGGAAACTATTCTTAAAATTTTTCGCATTATGAATTCTCCCCACTGTTTCAGGATTCATAAACTCATAGATTTTTTGTAGGCTTTCTCTCAAGCAAGCAGGCTATGGTTAATTAATACTTGATTTTCCCCTTTAATCAAAGGTCTATATAATTGCCAATTAGAAATTCTGAGTAATAAAAGATAGCCAGGGATACTATACCAGCATGACACAACTCAGCCACATAGCTAGAAACCCAACACTCCGAGAGCCGTAAATACTAACCTGGTTTAAACCATGGTCTCTGTCAGGCTCTCTGAGGTTGTTTTTCTTTACTTTTGTTTTGTTTGAGTAACAGCAAGTGCCTGCAACATAGTGAGCAGCAGGAATTCCACCCGGCAGTCTGCATGCTCTGTGTCTAATGCTCTCACTGTACCACAGTACAGGGATCACGCTCCTTTCACTGTGGGAACGACCAGAGAGGCAGGAGATATGCCCAAGGCCAATCACGGAGTTGTGCCAGGAGTTGTGTCCACATGATTCCAGGGCCATCTGACAAACTCTGCTGCTTTACCCATTGCATCAGTGGCTCTCTTCTTGGAGCCTTTGAAAATCACTGAGGCCCAGACTTCCTCACAAAGTCAGGCATCGGACTTTAAACAGACTCCTGCGCTAATTCTACGGTGTGGCTGGGCTTGAGGCCAGCAAGTGACTGGAATAGCTCCTGAGCTCGGGGGGCTGCTCTCAGGCAGCGAGGAGCCATCGCAGAGCCCATCCCACAGGAGAAGGTGCCGCAACTTGGGAAGTGTTCATACCATCGGCCCATCAATTCCTAAGAAAACAGAAGGCATGGACTAAGGTTTATGTGTGAGGATGTTCATTGACTGTAGCATTATTTAGAGCAGCCACAAATTAACCCAAATGCCCTGTAAGAAAGTAAAAGAATAAACAAAAGAATGTCATATGACAGAGTACTCTGAATCTTCAAAAACTGTAGATTACTTAAATGAAATATCAATCAGGAAGTGTTGTAGAAAAAATACTATGCATAGAAGAACCCTACTAAAATTGTTAGATAATACATTTATGTGGCTCAAAAATCAACAAACTAAGAAGTACACTAAGAAATGTTGCTTCAACCTCTGTCTCTACCTCCCCAGCCTCTTACAGGTCACACATTTGTTTCTTGGGCATCCTTTTAGTTTTTATTATGCAGCTATGAATGCATGCAGTCTGTCCAGAAAGTATCCAGTGACATACTATGAAAAAGGGACATTTATTGAAAAAGATACAAGAAACACTGCGCGTAGGACAATGATTCCTCAGTCTCATTCAATGTAGGCAACTTGGGACCTCACACAGTTCTCCCAGTCACCATCAGCTGCCCTGTCATACTTTCTTGAATTTCATCAATGGTCAGAAATCCTTCCCCTTTCAAAGGTGATCTTAGTTTTGGAAAAAACCGTAAGACTCATGGTGTCCAATCTGGGCTGTAGGTGGGCTGAGTAATCTAGGTGGGTTGATGTTTTACTAAAAACTCCATACAAGATGTGATGCATGAGCCAGCACACTGTTATCACAGAAGCTGCCAATCACCAGTTTCCCAGAGCTGAGGTGTTCTGAAACTTCCGAATAGCATCCATGGAGGAATGTTCAAGTTTAATGTAAAATTTGATGCAAATTTGTTGCTATACTTACTCAGTCATTTTGAATGTGACCACAGAGTACACATGCTCATTCAGCAGTGTCTACTGCCCCCATGGACTAGCACAGTAAAGTCATCATTGTTCATACATGCGCATTCCAGTCCACTCTCCTTGGCTGCCAGGTTACACTGATGTTGCGCAAATCATTCTTATATTAATAGTGGTTGGACTTTTTCCAGATAGCCCTTGTACATATATAAATACATATGCATGCGTCTATATATTATTTCCTCTTAGTACACAAGGGTAGTATACAATATACATTATTCTGCACTACACTTTACTTACATATCCTAGAGCTCATATGTCAGTATACAGGGACACTTTGCTGCATATTTCACTGGTAAATGTACAATACTTTATAAAACCAATTCTCAATGATAGACTGTTGCCTTATTTCCAACCCTGTGCTATTATAAAAAATGTTGAAATGATTGTCATTTTGAACACATGAATTGGTCATCTCTACCACAATGTTAAGTGAATGCCCAGAGTGTACTGTCAAATGTCAGGACTTGGCTAATATGACAAGGTAAAAATAATCTTATCATGGCTTTACTTTGCCCTTCTCTTATGAGTGAGCATAAGCTCTTTTCATATATTAAAGTCTGTCTACATTTCTTCTTCTGTGAACTATTCATGTTCTTTGACCACTTTTTCTGTTAGTAACACTAAAAAGTATGGCACTCATTTTCATGTGTCTGTGAGTGTTTAAGGGCAAAGGTATAAAACAAAATGTTCAATGTATGGTAGGTGGGTACAAAAAGTTACGAGATTGTATATATTTTTATTTTCTCTAATGAATTTAAAAGTAAAAATTTCTATACATCAGAATTAAAACGTCTGATTTAAAATTGGGAGGATTTTGTTGGATTACAATCAGCTTTAGGTTCTGTGAAATCAAGTCACAGGTTCTTTTAGGTTCTTTTGGAAATCAAGTAGAGGTTCCCATTCAGAAGCAAAATAAGACCAAATGGATACAAGAAAGATCAAATTTAATTAGATTTACTTCTTGATTCTCATTAATTTTGTCAGATCTCTTTAGGCCAAATACTCAGTCTTCTACGCAGAACGATTTTCAAGTGGCATGCCACAAGAATTTTTGAAACATGCAATGCCTGTTTAGTCAGGGGCACTGAGCTCTTTTCCCTTAGGTTGTCAAAAAAAAAAAAAAAGGCAACAGCTAAGATGATTATAGCCCTCTGGAGTGAATGCTGTCTTCAACCATAAATATATAGATCATATAATAGATTTGTTATCTTATTGTTCATGTCATACAATAAGGTTGTGTCTGATTGGTTAAGCCATGGTACCAGAAATCCTTAAGTCACCTCAAGCAAAAAGAATAGGCAATTACTATTATTATTCTTTTGGTAAATCAATCAAAATTAGATGTATTTTTTGTCAGATCAGTAAAATATTTTTGGGAGTGCCACCATATTTTAAGTTTATGTGTGCCATGAGATGAAAAAGGTAGCAAAATGCTGAGTTAGTGGAAACTACTGTTAGGAAAGGTAGGAGCACACAGGACACTTGAAAATCACTGAACACTCTGTGTGGCCAATTTCACAGCTGAGCACTACTAGGCGGCATCTCTTGTGGCTTCAAACTTCTTAGCGACTTCCTTCCTCAGCTCAGCCTGGGCTGCCCTGAAGTGGGCGGTAATGGAGGGGAGAGAAGGTGGTGGAGGCGACAGCGTGGCTGGTGGGAGGGTGCTGCTGGGGCTGATGGTGGTTTAGCTTCTCAGGCTTCCTTTGTTGACGTGCTCTGGCAAATGTGGTTGATTCGTGGAAAATGCTCAAAGTCAAACCGGCCCCTACTAGTTAGGTCTGTGCAAGCAGTGGCTTGGGTATTATAAGATAAAATAAGGGCAGTTAAACCACAACCAACTTTGCTCACATTCGAGAGGCCACAGATAATGTAAAGAAAATATCCATCTGCATACACATGCAGGGGGGTTATCAGACATACTTTTAGGAGTGGGTAGGGGCTCCTCATTTTTTATATACAAAGTTGACTCCAGTTGGTTACTATGTGAGCTGGAAATCTTATGTCCAGGACTGTTTAGATGCTGCACCATCCGTCCAACAAGAACCTGTGGGGCGGAATGAGCAGACGACTCTAAGGTAATCCTGAATGTTACACCCAATATCTGTGCTTTTCCATGGAATCTGATTTACCGAGGTTTGTGCCTTGTGTTTGTTTCACAGTGTAGACAAGGCGACCCAAGGCCCATGGCTGTGAACCTCATGGTGTGGGCAGACTACAGATGTGGGCAACAGGGACGAGCTTTTTCCTTCACAAGAACACAGCGACAGCAAGGCCCTACGTTCAACTGTGCCACTGAATGTCATATACTGAATCATGCAAGTCCCTCTGAAGGGACAAGACTTAAAGGTTAACCTAAGCAAAACTTAATAGAGGTTGGCGTCAGGCAGAAGAGGGCTGTTCAGCAATGTGAACATAGAAACCAAATGCTGTCCTCCATACCTCAATCCAGCATAGGACAAAGTGGGTGCTCAGGTCCCAGGCTCTAACTGTGCAGTCCTGGGGGGAGTATAGCTCTATTTTGCAGATCAGCACTTCAGGCTTTCATAGTGTGACTTCACAACACATTCATAGCAGATACTTCATTCTTTGGTCTGTGCTCCTAAGAGACGACTACTGGGAACCTTGGCTACTGGTTCAGCTCACTGTGTTTGAGTAAAAGATGTTTCCCAGGTTAAATTAATACAATGACATCCAGCTTAGGCATCACCTGAGTGCTTGGTGTGTATGTGCATCCACTCCTGAGGCAAAGCATTATCGCTGTGATACTGCCATTGTGTTCCATAGGTGTTATTCCCAAGGCCAGGCCCTGGAGCTTTCCATCTCCCTTTCTCCTCCATAGGAAGCTCTTCCTGGTTAGGCTCCCGCCTCCCAAGGGCATTTCGGTCATTTGGCCCAGTCTTAGAACAAGCACAGATGGAGCTGATTTGATCTGCACAAATGGCCAGTTCCCACCCAAACCAGCACTGTTACCATGATGCACAACCGAGTTTTTCTTAAATGAAAGAAAACAAATGAAAGAAAGAAAACAAATAGACATGCTGCCTTCCTATGAAGCAGTGAGGTTGTAGTTCACATGTTAAAATCACTTCACCATATAATTTAGTTTACTTTAATCCATATTAGTTAAACACAAAGGGAAAATGATGGCAAAGATTTCATAGTGTGGTTTCAAATAAGATGTCTCAGACTACTTTAGAACCAGTCTGCTAAGAGAAAGATACAAAATGTCTGGTGACCTTTAATATATACTTAAAACCTCTCTTTCCCCTCCTTTGGTAATTACAACACTTTGGGCCAAATAAATAATGCAAAACAAGAAAAATAAAACTAGTAACTTTGGTATATGGGATTTTATTACATTTTAAAGTTGTACAAAGAGCACATGTGCATGAGTTAAAAAACACAAAGAAAATGTAGGATGTTAAAAAAGAGATACAGAAGAAATCTGAGACATGAAACAAAACAATTCCATTCAGTGAATCCAAATAAAAGATATTGTGCTTACTAAAAACGTGTTACTATAATATATTAAGCAGTCTGTTGATTAGGAATACAGCAAAAGACCTTTCTGCAACTATTTATTACAGATCAGACTCAGTCTCACTGAACAGAGGGTAGATCATTACGTTACCTTACCTGCCACAGGCAGGGTGCTAAATGCATGTGAATATGGTACAGTGTCTGTGAGGTATTACAATAAATAGATGCTTTATTCGCCAATCAATCAAGTCAGCCGTGGATGTCACCACTTCAGCTCTCCATAGGGAGACCCATCACCAGTCCTCTTTGCCCTCATTTTCAATGAGAGTTTTTCACACTTTGAAAAAGAGAGAACACAAAAATATTTGAGAAGTTGTTTTACAAGGAGAAATGCTACACTTGGCCTTAACAAAGTCTGTGTACCTGGGTGGGCTCTGTTACAGACAATTAAAAGCATTTAATGTAGGCACACAAGAATTTATTTCAAAGCATTTTAGAAAAGATCAACTCTTCACATGCCCACCCTTTTCCTTCGTCTCAAGCACTGTTGTGGAAAGAAGGGGACAGAGAAGTGCTGGGTGCTGCTGACGCAGGTAAAGGGCCCCGTTCGCCAGGATCTAGCTGCCTCTGCCGGCCCATCTGTCTCTACACTGGCTTCCCAATTATGCTGAATGTGTCTACCGTCTTTCCTTTTTTTTTTTTTTTTTGAAATTTTAAATTTTATTAATTCTTTTGTTCAGATAAAACTGACATTTAAAATTATATTATTTTCAAGAATATAACATAATAGTTCGGTGTCTGACTATATTACAAAATGGTCACCATAAGTCTAGTTAACATCTATCACCATATATAGTTACAAGATTGTTTTATTTCTTGTGATGAGAACATTTAAGATCTACTCTCCTTTCCCTTCTGTGTTTTAATAATTAAGCAAAGTCACTACTACCACAATTTATGTTTATCTTGTTTTTCTGAGGTGGAAATAGTTTCCTTTGATGATTTGATGGGATTTAAGAATGTGCCCCCACCTTGAGGCACATCCAGTACTACTGCTTTGACGGACTGGATCACATCTTTAACCTCAGAAGCTCCAACAACTTGAGAGACAATCTGGTGCACGGTCAGAGTGAATACTGGTACCAGACAGGAGGGCCTGCATCCTGGCTCTGCCACCTGCTAGCTATGCGACCTCGAACAAGTCACTCTACCACGCCAAGTCTCACCTTCCACAGATATAAATGCAGGCAGTACCAGGACCCTGCCTCCTAGGACTGCTACCCTCACAGCACACAAAAAGGGTCTGCAATCAGACAATATCTGAAACGGAGACCTTCTGGCTAAGTAAACAAAAATGCATACATCTTATTGGAAAATTTGGGACTAGGAGGTGTTTTTCATACTTCACCAATATTCCCGTACAGAAATTAAGAAATTTTACAGAAATTAAAACGTGACTGACAAATTCATGTAAATAGTATGAACACGGCTACATATAAACACTCATATTCTTTGAATTTTACTCTGAATCCACTAGAGGAAATGCTCCCTATTTCAGCACTTTGTTGATACAGTTTCATTTTCAAAGACTTACTTTAGCAAAAGTAGTACTCATAGCTCTAATAGTGGTTTTTCACTGTCCTGTTTTTCTTCAGCTTCTTCAGATCCTACATGGTAAGAAAGGGAAAGCAGAAAAAGTATTGCTTTTCATTAAAGTAATAAATGACTTCTTTAAAATTACAATATATACACATAACATTTTAAAGGACAGATACATGTTTAATACTCAAGACACTTAGGTGAACAAAACTGTAACTATAAGATAAAGTTCTATGTTATTTCTTACAGGAGGGAAACCTACCTATAAAATAGAATATCACTTGCACTAATCTGTCACAGAGAATTTTACTTACGTTCCTTTAAAACATTCATACAAAGCAAGAATCATTATCAAGGCTATTCATCTTCCACCTCCTTGCTGACAAGCCTGCTTATGTTTTTCAAGTGCAAATAACCTTGAACTTTGGCACAAATAACTTATTCTACATATTTTTTAAAAACCTCTGTGCCAATGAGAAAGCAGTAAGGTCCTCCTAATGCCAAGGGTGATGCCAGATGATCACTCTCAAGTGCTGCTGCCAGTGACCACTGTCATGACCATTCCAGGTCAATGTCTAGTGAGCCCCAAACTAGTTGTGCCTTTGACCCACTCATTCCACTCTTGAATTATTTCCTTAGGCTATATCCCTGAGGAAACAGTCCTTGCTTTCTGCTATGTAGCTTTCCCTCTAAAAAGTAGAAAAAAAGTCCAAGTCTAAGAGCAGAGATTAAAAATTACTACATTTCCATGAAATAGCATGCATCCATTTAAAATTATATAGGCTATAACAACATGGAAAATATGTCACATATAATGTAAAAACAAATATGTAATGAAAAACTGTATATATTATAAGATCATATTTGATAAAAATAGAACTAAATACGTGTGCAAATCAGAAAGACCAGAAGCAACCAACCAAGTGACATACATACATATTTGCATTTCCAAAATTTCTACAATAACTCTAAGCTAACATTATAATTTTTGAAACAGGATATAAAATATAGGCAGCATGGCCACAATTACATAAATTACAAACACAAAAGTAGAAGGAAACAACAGTCAACAATGATGTTGCTGAATACTTTGAAGAACCATACTCTTATTTTGTTCTTCGCACATTTTTATAAAAAGCACATGTTACATTAATAATCAGGCGTAAGAAAAACAAAAAGAGCAGTGAGAAGACAATGGCAGTAGTTAGGAGTATAGCCTATTCACTCACAAACGCAGCCTGCCTCACCCTGCTGCTGGACTCTTGTCAGGTAACGCACTTTGCTTCCGAGAATGTCTGGCTGGATTATAGCCAAAAATAAATCCGCTACAGGAGAATGAGTCTACGGCCACACCGCCCTGAACGCACCCGATCTTGTCTGATCTCAGAGGCTAAGCAGGATTGGGCCTGGTTGGTACTTCAATGGGAGGAGAATGAAAGGCCGAGAATCTTAAAAAAAGGCTGTGTCTCACATCTCAACTTCATAAATGTCACAGGGTGAGGGTTAAATGTGTGATAAATGTGTGATAAAGGCTTCACTTTCCAGCTTATTATGCTGCTGTGAAGCATATGGACAGTGGGCTGGCTCAACGGCCTTCTTCTCACACCGAAAGGAGTCTGAGGAAGACAGTCACACCAGCTTCTTGTTTCTGAGCTCATTTTCCAGCTGTCAGGCTAACGTCATGTGAGCCACAAACTGACAGGTCTTGGAATTATTTGGGAATCCTCTAAAGACAAACTCTCAATTAAAATGATAACAGCTGTGCTTTTCGTAATTTAAAAGCGAATGCTAGAAAGGACTTTTGGTTATAATGGAGTGAGGAGCAAATAAATCTCCTTGAAAGACAACTATAAAACTGGACTAGATGAACAAGACTTCCTGTTCCAGCACTCAGAAAGTGAACCAAAGCATACAACCACCTGAGGAGTGCTGATGCTGGGACAAGAGCAGAGTTCTGGGATCAACGGTGGTGTTCTTGCCTGGAGCTGCTTCCAAGTCCTCCACTCCCAACACCTTGCTTGATAGGCATGAAGGTTCCTCCAGGGTAGGGCAGACCATAAGGACTTGCCACAAAACTTCACAGTTGAAGGGACCTCCCATAATTTGGGCTGGGGATTGATGCGGTGAACTGACAAAATCAGCTGTGTGCGAGCAGGAAGGGCCAGAGACTCTCCTGGTTTGAGGCTGTGGTCATGGCTACAGTCAACACATGCCTGGCTGAAGTTGTGTGTGTGCTGAGTGGACCCAAAAGAGCCCAAGCCGGCCAAACAGGGTTGCTGGTCAACCCTGAGGCTATGAGCATGTGTACAGAAGAGACATGAGAAGACTTACAAGAAAGCACAAACTGGGGAGGACTCGATATAGACTGAAATTTGAATGTGCCAAAACATACACATATCCTTTTTGCAGAAGACAGAAGACTTAATTAAGGTGCCTGATCACAATCTCTGTCCATCACTTGCTACCACTAAGCTATGTAGACAAAGGCATGAACCCATAAAGCTATGCTTAAAAATAAAAGCAATTAAAAAGAATATAAAAAACTAAAAGGCACATCAGCAGCCACACACCATGGGAAAAACAATTTCACAGATTCAGTCCAGGCAATTTTCTAAGCAAACAGACATTAACAATAGTAACCTTTTGGGTAGAAATCAGAATCTACAGTTGACACAGTATATCTTCAATAACCTACCTTTCAATAAAAAAATTACAAGATAAGCAAAGAATAAGAAAGTGTGACTATTCTCAAAAGAAAAAAACAAAACCCACAACTCAATACAAAAGATCTCTATTTCCAGACATTTTATTGAGCATACCATGAGTTCAAAGAATCTATTGTAAATATGATATTTATATTTAGAATTGTTATTTTATAGATATACATATTCAAGTAACTGTAAAAAACCATAGTTAAAGTATTAAAGGAAAGTACAAATCAAAACTACAAATCAACAGAGATTATAAATCAAGGAGACAGAAATTATAAAATGATCAGATAACAAAATAAAATCTGGACTAGAAGTTTATAATAACTAAAGTGAAATATTCACTAGAGAGTGGCTGAGAGAATATTCAAGTTGACAAAAGAGAGAATCTGTGAACTTGATCATAGAGCAATAGAAGTTACCCAATCTAAATAACAAAGAGAAAAAGACTGAAGAAAAATTGAACAGAAACCCGAGAGCTATGAGGTAACATTGAGCATATCAACACACATATACTGGGACTCCCTGATAAAGCAGAGGAAAAAAGAATCAGGAAAAATGTTCGAAGAAATTATGCCCAAAACTCCTCAAATTTGTTGAGAAATGTTTGTACATTTAATAAGCTAAACAAATACTGATTAGGATATATACAAAGAGATCCATGTGTAGTTGTTACAACATGTTTTATAAGCAACAGCTGAAAACCGCAGAATGCATTAAACACAATACATCAAAATTTGTAAGATGTTGCTAGAGCAATCCCTTCAGGGGGAATACATGGCTTTAAATGCCTCTATGAGAAAAAAAAAAAGGATTTAAAATCAATCATGAAAAAGAAGGGCAAGCTAAACACAACTGCACAGTAAATGGAGGCAGTCTGGCTTCCGCACCCCGGTGTCTGGGTAACTAAGGGACGCAGTTTCTCACAATCCGGAATGGGCCTGATAAAGTCGTGTTCTCATAGCCTTGAGTCTGGGTCTGATAAACGGTTCCCATAACACGAAGTGGGCTTGCATGCGCAGGATCTCACTATGTTACACAATCTGCTGGCTCCCTGCTAGCACAGACACACAAACCGGAGAGAGAGGGGATAGGTGACATGCAGTGTGACAAACGTGACACACCGCCTGCAGCATGCATGGCTCGCCCACCCTTACAGGAAGTCGTGTCAGGCATCCCCACAGCGCTGAGACTCTTCTTCCGCCGGCTGGAATCCCGTGAACTTATCCGGACTTGAACAGTCACAACACATCAACCCAAGCAGAATAATTGAAGTAATAAAAAATGGGAATGTAAACAACTAAAATGGAAAACTAAAACACAAGACAGAAAAGTCCAGGGAAACAAGTTAGTTCTTTGAAAATATAAATGAATTTGACAAACCTCAAGCCAGAATTACTAAGAAGAAATGAAAGCACAAACTACCAAAATCAAGAAAAAAATTACTACCAATTCTACAGAAACAAAAAAGGAGTAAAGGGAATGTAACAAATAATTTATATAAGCAAACTAGGTAATTTACATTACCTAGGATGAACTCTTAGAATGACACAAATTACCAAAATGGACTCGCAAATAAATAATTTGAATAGATTTATATATAAAATGAAATTTAATTCATAATTAAAAATCCTCCCACAAATGAAATTCCTGACCTAGAAGGTTTCATTGGAGAACCTATTGAACATTTAAGAAGGAATAATGTTGATCCTTCACAACAAGGATTCATTCAGAAAACAGAGGAGATGGAAACACTTCCCCAAGTGTTCGATGAAGCCAGCGTTACTCTACTGTCAAATCCAAAGATACAATAAGAAAAATACAGACAATAAGGTACAACCCCCCTCCAAAAGTACTAGCAAATCAAAACCACTAAAGTTCATAATAGATTATACAACTTGACCAAGTGGGATTTATCCCAGATAGTTTATTTAACATCTAAAAATTAATGTAATATACTGTATTAATTGCATACAAAACAAAAAACACCTGATTACTCAACAGATGTATAAAAAGCATTTGTAAAATCCAATGCTCATTCATTATAAAAACTTTCAACACACTAGGAATAAAATGGAACTTCCTTAGCCTAATAAAGGGCATCTGTGAAAACCCGTAAATGTCCCATACTTAACGCTGAAAGACTAAATGCTTTTCCCTAAGACCAGCAACAAGACAAGGATGTCTGCTCTTGCCACTCCTATTCAACATTGGATTGGATGTTCTAGACAGTGCAACTGGAGAAAATCAAAAGTAAAGCTTTCCAGAAGATTGGAAAACAAAAGATAAACAGTCTATGTACAGATGGCCTGATCCTCTATATAGAAAAATTACACGGAATACACACTAAACCAAAACTA